TCTTTCCCTCCCCCTGTGCTGGGCACAGCCCAGCTGGGATTCTGGAGCCCGGCGGCAGGGTGGGTGTTTCCCTCTTCCCCCCCAATCCTCAGCCAACCCACTGGCCAAGGGAAGGAGGCAAGGCTATAGGACTTGCTTGGCACCTCACTTCTGGCTCTGTGTGGGCATAAGGGAGAGGGAGAAACATCCCATTGGGGGCTTCCCTCCACCCCAGGGAGACCCTGGCTGGTGGTCTGGTGGGTAGAGGGGGTATGGCTAGGGCATAAGAAATGATGTTAAAACTGTCTCAGGAGAGAACCATTTACTATGTAGGTAGGGGAAAATGACGAATCGAGTAAGAAAGACTCAGCGTACTCCTGATGGTGGGGTGCTGGATCATTTACTTGCTTATGTGCTTAGGTTTTTCTTTGTTTGTTTTGTTCTGTGCATGTCAAGGCACTTGCCCTTGACTGAGTACTAAACCACCTTTTAAAAGCCAAATTTTCCTGATCTAATGAATACTCTGATGCTGAAGGAAACCAGTTTCATATATGGTTCAAAGGGCATGTCTACATATCGCCCTATGGCGATGTAGTGACACACTGTGTTGCCTTATGGTGCACAAGGGCAACATAGTGGTCACGTGTCTACACATGATCACCAGCTATGTTGCTGTAGCAGTGTGCTCCCCAGGTATAGCGCACCACTACAGCCATAGTGATGAAATTTACCCATGCGCCACACACACGGCATGGTAACCACCCATACTGCACTGTGCTTTAATACTTCAAAAAGCAAGTACTAATTCATGGCACCATAGCAAAGCTGCTGTACGGTGCTGTGTAGACGTGCCCAAAGTAACTCATTTTGATGATGCTTTATCGCCACTCTCTTCCTTCCTTCCCCTTCCCCCTAAACAAACGAACAAAAATCCTCCTTTTAGTCTTCTGTACCTGCTTAGCTTTGCAAGATTTCCTGGTGCTACAGTGGTTTAGAGAGCTTTTAAAATACTCTGGTAGAAAGTTCTCTTGTGGCCTCAACAATAGTTTATACCAGGGGTTTTCAACCTTTTGGCATCATTGTACCCCAGCTGCTGAGCAGGGGGAAGAGGGGGGAGCAGGTGGAGAGTGGCCAGACACAGAGCAGCAGTATCTCCCGCGTGCGAGCTTCCCCACCCTGTGTCCAGCTGGGCGGGCGGTGCCTGCACAGCAGTGTGGGATGCTGCGTGGTGGTGCTTCATCCCCACCTGCCTGTACTTACCCTCTAGGGCCATCTCAAGTACCCCCAGGTGACAACCCCTGGTTTATGCTACTTCAGAGCCAAATAGTCTCTTGGCACTTGTCGTTCAGAACTGTCCCAAAGTGAAAAATTCAAAATATGAAAGATCTGAAATTTGATAATATAAAAACGGCTTTCAAGTTTTACTCATGTCAAAGAAAAATATCTTTGTCTTCTGACTTTGTTTTTAAAGAACAAAAGGGAAAATGGGAACTTAAACTTAAAATGGGATCTTAAACTTTTACTTTTCTAGTAAGAAAATCCTGTATTTTGACTGAAGGGCAAACCTCCCTTGAAATGTTGCTGTGCTCTAAGTGCAAGTCTTCAATGAATTCTATGTGAATCTATCTTGTATCTTCATATTTGTTCTACTATTATAATTCTGCATTGTTAGTGTTGCCCCTAAGATTCCTTTTACCAGAAACCCCAAGGATTGACATGGCCCCTCGTCCAATTTGATATCCAGTGAACTTTTAATAGTAACCCCTTGGTTTATTACAAGTATTCTTCCTTGCGATACGACCTGACAAGCAGTTCCTTCAGGCGTTACAGCAGCGACCTTTGGTGTTACCGGCTTCAGATCCTCTGCTGGATGTGCGGGATGTTAGTTTCTGGATTCCTTGTTGTTCAAACAAGAAGTCCAGGGTTGTTCCTGTCTCCGTAGGGTGGCAACGCAAAACACACATGTTCCTTTGTCCATCACTTTTGTAATTTCTATCATCCCAAATTATCCAATCCCTTGGCCCTGTGCCAAGCATTCCTTATATGGTGCACCAATCCCCTAGCACTGTGCCAGCTACATTCCTTACAGAGAAACTGCTGTCCCTTGCTTGCCTACTGCCCAATCTCAGCACTTGCATCTCCCAGTAGCACAGAAGGCGCTCTGTTCAATTTTGTTGCTTAGTTCTGGGAAGTCCTGGACTTTGGCTCAAAGCTTTAACATAGCTCAGTTTGCTTGCTACAGTTAGCATAAGTCATCTTCTTGTGGCTGACTTGCATTTATGTGTATGTCGTTAGATGTAAAAACTTTGTTCAGTAACTTACACGCTATTCTAACTTTGTATTCACAGAAATGTGATGAAATCATTGTGGCTCATCTTGGCTACCTGAACTACACTCAGTATAACATATTGGTTAGTTTTGAGGGTCTGGAGAAGTTGATGGTTCCCATCATGAACATCAATTTCACAGTAAGTTGCATACTGGGCCAAGAGGAAAAAGTCTTTTAGTTTTTAGTTATTGTTGTGAAGGTCTGTTTTAACTGTAGTGAAATAAGTTATTTCCTTTTGAAAGTGAAACACTTGCACAGAGGAAGTATTAAGGTAAGGCTCTTGATTCATTCTTAGGTCAAAACCATTCGGTGGATGCTGTTAACAAAGTTATAGTGCAGCTTGCCCAGTAAGTGTGGGGAAAAAGATCTTTTTTTCTGTCAGAATGGTTATTAAACTATGCCTAATTAGAGATGTTATCTTGAGCGCTTCTCTTGAGAACAAATCTTTCTCAGTGCTGGGCAAGCTAGACTGGAACCATGGTAGCAAAACCTGTTTAAATGTGATTGTAGCTAGTACAGTTCTGAGTGGTGGGGACAGGGGACACTTGTTCATTAAGCCATTCTAAATCTATGCTTGTGAAGTCCATTGTTAAAAAATATTGAGTACACAAGAATGAACAGAATTCTTCTAGCTTTTTCCTAGAAATTGGGGTTCAAACAGCATTCAGAAGTAGCTGTGAAGTGATCAAGCCTTTCAGGGGTTACACAAACAGCAGATCAAAAACTCTATTTTATCACTTCCATGTTCAGATGCTTTCAGTGTTCAGATATAAATTCATGAGAAAAGGTCTGGTTTAGAAATGTAAGTTTGGGTGAACATCGGGATCTTACATCTCCTAACAAAGTAGCTTTTTCCACACATTAGAAATAAATAAATTGGGATTAGCAAGATTTCTCAAGAGTTTCCAAAAGCAGGTTGACCTGGAAAGGAAATGTTTTCTTCAGTAAAACAAGTAAAGCAAATAGGCCAAATTCAGCCTAATTAAGGAAAATGGTGTAATACACACTGCTTAAAGGTGATTTGAAAAACAGAATGTTAATAGGACTTCACCAGCCTGTGCTATAAGACCCCAGCGCTGGTAAACCAACCCCCAAAGAACCTAAACAAACTCTGAGCCGCTGTGGGCTCTGTGTACATCTTGGTTGTGATGGCTGTGCTGCAGTGTTCCTCCTGCATGTTTTAGTCTGCGTTTTGTAGCACCTAATTAGCAGAGGCCTAAAATATAAAGGCAAACATTTTAATTTTTAGTTTTTGCTGAATGCTCTTCACATTTGGTT